TTTATTTTTGCTTATCTCCCTCTCCTTATATATATTTATTTGTTGTGTGTTTTATTCTTATTCATCGTATTATTATTGTTTCGGTGTGGAACAGGTGTACAACACATTTCACTGCACGTTATACCATGTATAGAATAGAATAGAATAGAATAGAATAGAATAGAATAGAATAGAATATTTATTTATTGATAAACTGGTATAACTGTGGTTATGACCAATGAAGGCCTTAAATCCTTGACTCAGACCATGCAGCTGGGAGCTGGGTTGCTCCTGTTTCAAACATTTGTACTAATTACTTCATTTCCTAAACACACTGACCACACTGCCAGGTCATTAGCAAAAAATTAAACAGAGGAAGAGCAGCCGTCCTTCTCTTGTTCACAGAACAGAGCAGAGCTGGAAATATTCTGTGGTCTGAAACATGCAACAAGCACATTGTGCTTTTCTGGTTTTAATGTAAACGTGAAAAAAATGACACTCACTGGCTGTTGGGACGTTTCTGCGCACCAGAGGTCCCTGGATGGCTTTACCGCTGGCTTTGTTGACAGCAATGAAGGCCGTGAAGGAACTGCTCACTCCTGATTGGACACTGAGCTGCACCACCTTCTTCTTCACTCTTGCATCACTCTTTCTCCTATCATCTCTGTCCTCCATCTCCAGGGAGCGAATCAGAGTCCGAGCCGCCAACCTGTGGACAGTTAATCTGCAGACAGGAGAGAGGAGGAAGAAGAGCCGGAGCTAAACTCACCTTTCTGTGAATGTAAAATAGATCTGCTTTGTTCAATCCTGTTAAAGGTCAACAAGGACATGAAAAAGGATTTCAATGAATGAAATCGACGTGAAATGAAAATAGTTTGTGTTACAAACAGTCCATTGGCATCATGGTGCTTTGCAGTCAGTGCTAATGGCAGTGAGCTGCCATGCTGAGGATGGCAGGGTGAACATCTGATGGTACACATGCCAACAGAATGAAGTCAGTGTCTAACCCTGCTGTCACACTAACAGCTCTTTACCCAGTGTCCTCTGCAGGTTTGAGACTGAAGTGCAGCTGGTTCTGAGAGGGTCGACCTGCCAGGCTGTACTTCACCGTCACACTGCCCTCTGTTGCCTTTGAACTCTGAGGAAGGAAACACACAAAGATCGCTGTTACTCAGGTTTGATCCATCTGACAAATACAACCGCAGACATATGTTACTATGAGAAGATGTTGCTGCTACCTGACCAGTGAGCTGGGCGTAGACCAGTGACCTCTGACCCTGGAACATGGATGTGATTGGTGGAGACAGGACAGTGGCGGTCACTCTCTTTGGTAAGTCCCATGTGATGGAGATGTCTTCCACAGCCGGCTGCAGAGCAAATCTCAGCGACTGAATCACCTGAAATGTTGAAAAAATGTCGTTGCAGTTTTTAAATGAGAATCTTTGTGTTGTTTTCCTTTGGCCTCCATCTTGTCAGTGTTCTTGATGAACAGGATGACCTGAGCCTGTCCTCCTCCCCCAGAGATGATCACACAGTTCTCACTTGTTGTCTTTACTATTCCTATTCATCCCATTTTATCTTATGCATACATACATGTGTGTGTGCTGCTGTGTCAGTCAGAATCTCCCCTGTGGGGTATGAGTGAAGGGACATTTCATCGCATCTCTTCAGTACAGATGTGCTGCTACCTGGCTGACCTTGACAGCTTCATTATGTTCAGTGTCCTACCTTTGGTTGCATCCTATCAGTCCCTGTGATGAACTGAGCGTGTCCTCCTCCTTCTTTGGCCAACCCATTGATGAGAGCAGAGCTGGCTCCTTCCCCAATCCCAAAAGAGAAACACCTACAAGACAACAGTTTGGTTTAAACACACACAACTCTACAACACTGAACACATCTTGTGTTT